ATGTAATGCTTTCACTGCTAATAATGGGGCCAAGGCATCCTGGAAATGACATAGATGTTTATCTTGCACCACTTGTTGACGAATTGAGAAAGATGTGGGACGAAGGGGTTTCCATTTTTTATGCTCATAAGAATGAGATGTTCACTTTGCGTGCAACTCTTATGTGGATCGTTAATGATTTTCCTACATATGGCAACTTGTCTGGGTAAAAGAACAAAGTAAAAAAAGCATGCCCCATTTGTATTGATGACATACCAAGCATACACCTTGATCATTCTCACAAAGAGGTGTACGTGCGGACCCGAAGGTTGCTCAGGCGCGATCATCCGTACCGTAGGCAGAAAAAGGCTTTTGATGGGACAGTGGAAGAGGGGACTGCGCCTAGGCCATTGAATGGTGAGGAGGTTTACGCTCGAGTTAAGGGTATACCAACAGTATTTAGGAAAATAGAAAAAGTTGCGGACTCAACAACTCTCTTTAAAAAATAATTAATCTTTTGGAAGCTTCCGTACTGGAAAGAACATGACGTTAGGCATTATCTTTTTGTGATGCATATAGAGAAGAATGTGTGTGATGCTCTTGTAGGAATGTTGATAAATATTCAAAGCAAAACAAAGGATGGAAAGGGTGCACGGTTAGATAAGGAAAAGATGGGGGTTCGTCCAGAATTGTTGGCTTAGGAAAAGGTTAGAAAGGGAAAGGAATAGGAAAAGGAAAATGAAATTGTTTTGAAAAAAAGGAAAGGGGAAGAGCAAGGGATAGGGAAAGGAAAAGGGAAAGGCCACGGATGCATCGAAGAAGAAATATGAAGGTAAAGGCAAGGATGAAAAGGCTTATTTACCTCCGGCTTGCTACACATTGTCAAGGGTAGAAAAACGGATGTTTTGTGCATGTATGTACGGAATTAAGGTTCCATCAAGGTACACATCTAACATGAAAAGATTTGTATCCGTAAATGGAGAATTGAAGCTGACAAGTATGAAATCCCATGATTGTCACATTATGATGCAAGTATTCCTACCAATTCCAATACGTGGTATTTTACCGAAGCACGTAAGGGAAGCTATTACAAGCCTTTGTTTGTTTTTCAATACAATACGCAGCAAAGTGCTTGATCCTTGTACACTTGATGCTTTGCAGGCGGATGTGGTTGTGGCTGTGTGCAAATTTGAGATGTATTTCCCATCCTTATTTTTTGACATAATGGTGCATCTGATTCTTCATTTGGTTCTGGAGATTATGTTGTGCGGTCCAGTGTTTATGAGGTGGTGCTATCCTTTTGAAAGACACATGGGTACATTGCAAAATAAAGTAACGAATCCGGCTCACCCGGAAGGAAGTATGATTCAAGGGACCGTGGGTGAGGAGATTGGTAATTTTATGGCCGACTATATAGCCGTTGATGAACTTATTAGTTGATAGGCGTGTCGCGTACCTAAAAAAAATAACCTAACTAGACCACTACTATGTAGACTTGAAAGTAAGGATCGAATCCCAAGAGACTAAGGTTCACCTAAATTATCTAGACTCAAATAATCACAAAGCAAGAATCAAATCAATGGTGGAATAAACTAGGAACTATTGTATGAAAAACTAGAATTAATCAAAAGAATATAATGAATCAATAAACTAAAATATCCAAGATCAAGTATCACCACAATTACAATCGATGCAATTATCTATCTACCCCTAGCATACAATTCCAAATAACATGGGGAAAAGTAAATCCTAATCAATACCAAGGACATCTCTCGAGTATCAATGGCTTCTCTAACCACAATCAAGCCTATTCTCATGGAATCATGCAAATTAGAGACATTAAACACTTTACTTCACTTCCCAATTATCAATTCAACTACTCTCGTGATGAATTTCAAACCCTAAATTGATCTACTCAAATCCGTTAAAACCCAACTCTCGTTGTGATTAGAACTATGGAATAATAACAATACTAATTATCTCTAATCTAGTATTGGCATAATCACAATAGATTTAGCATAAACAATTGTAATAGTTATTAAAGAATTTAAAGAATCAATTCATGCATCAATCATAATTGGGCTACCCTAAGTCTTGAAATATAACAACTACTCACACATATTGAAATAAGCAATAACAAAAATAATCAAAGAAAACATAATTGAAAACAATAATAATTGAAAGAGAAGGGAATAGAGATGAATACCAATGATGCTTCAATTGAAATAACTCAAATTGTTAATCATTAATACTAAAATCTATTGAAGGAATTAAATTGCTTTAAAGAAATAAACTAGGGTTCTAGAGAGAGAAATAAAACTTAAGGAATTAACTAAGTCCCCTTCTAATGATGATTACAATGGGTATTTATACCCTTAATGAAATAAAATCAAGAAAATAATAAACCGACAATGCGCACCACACTGCCTGGTCTGACCGAGCTTGCCATGCCCGATCGGGCAGGTGGTATTAAACAAGCGATGCTCTTCCTTCATTGCTTCTCTTCGGTGCCCGATCTAACCGGGAAAGTGGCGCCCGATCGGGCGCGAGGCACATCTTAATTGCAGCCTTGCATCTTGATCTTCGTAGCTTTGAGCATCATCAGCCACCACGCGCCCGGTCCAACCGGGCATGAGCTGCCCGATCGGGCACGTGGGATAAATGCCCAAGCTTACTTTGTTCTTCATAATTAGCACCAATAATAAATCCTTTTGTGCCCGGTCTGACCGGGCATGCATAGCCCAACCGGGCATAGTAGAAAAATGTTGTTTGCTTGCAATTCTTCTTCGGCTTAGCTCATGTTTAGCTCGTGTTTACATCCTTGTCCACTAACATCTCCGTAAACGCTCAAAACGTGTCCGAATCATCCGGGAAACTCCAAGTTCCTGTAAAACTTATAAAAACACACCAAACACACCAGAGAAGAGAATGTTAGCGGAAAATGGCTCTAAAGAGCCTAAAACCATGCAAGAATGTAATGAAAAGTCGGGATAAATCTATGTATAAAACGTGTACATCAAATTCCCCCAAGCTAAACTCTTGCTTGTCCTCAAGAAAGACAATCAAAAATAATCAACAACCAAACAAAATACTTCACCCCATAATGCAATATTTAAAACACGGACTCAAAATCGAAATCAACCAAGCATGCATCCTAGCCAACCAATCAAAGCACTCAAACTGTCGATCCACCTAATTAATCGTCAAAGGAGAACAACCATGTATATTTCAAGAATCGATGACTAGAATATCTCACATCGGTGGTCACTCAACACACTTTTTATGTGGCGAGCTAAAAGCGAGCTCCATCTCTCACCATCCCCACCAATAATGCAACCCCCCCATCTCACAACGCTCGCGTGTTTAGAGCGTCATAATATCGCTCATCCTAGTCAATGTCGACTAGAAATGCAACATATACTCCAGCATTTTGACAAAAGACTCGTTTCACATGAACACAATGCTATGCACGAAGATCGGAAGGACGTTTTCAAGCTTGTAACGTGGGCTGGGAATAAGAATGGGTGGGAAGTAATTTGGGAAATGTGGGCTATATTAGTCTAACCGGGGAGCTATCAAATGCAATGATTCACACCCTCGATTCACCATTTTTTATCAACAAAACACAAACCCAACTACAATAAAAACACCCATTACTTCTTCACATTCTTTTCCAACTTCAAGCTTCTTTTTATTATTATTTTTTTTTTCACATCAACATTTTTCCTTTTTTTTTTTCCTTTATTATTTTTTTTCTTTATTGTTCCTCGCTCTTTGATTCATTCCCCTTTTTTTTCAGCAAACCTCCATGCTAGTTTTCCTTCTTTTCTCTCTTTTTCTTTCATATATTTCTCATCAATTGCAACTTGAAATAAAATCACACAAAATACCGCATAATATAGCTCCCCCAAGCTAGACTTGGGAAAAATAACCAAATTGGGACTAAGGGGTAATTTTGTAAAGTTCACAAAAAATATAGTCAAGCTACAACATGGGCGAGCAAGAAGGGAACAGATGTTCTAAATTCGTCTGGAGGCCACCTAATGAACATGGCCTTCGTCATTTCAACGTGCACGTGCAATGCATTACGACACACTATTAAGAGTCTAGAATCAAAACTAAGATTAATGCTACACCAAGAACTAAACACACATATGAATGAATATATAATGCTCAAGCCTCACGGTTAACACATCCAAGCTCCTAAATGATACATGGTTAATAGCTTTGACCCCTATTAGGGATCAACCAATTCAAGGTAAAATCATGATCTTTTAATCCATAATGCAAGTCTTTCAATCAAAATTAAATCAAAACCTTTTTGGCATTAAGGATAGGGGCACAGGGAAGTAGTTCAATGGCCATTCATTATCATGATTCTCGTAATTTTCATCATTTTTTTTTATTTTTTTTCAGATGAAAGCATTGAACCTTACTGGTAGTCTAAACACACTAAATTAGAAAGAGAGAGTGAAAGATATACCTTGTGTACACAAGAACTTCCCCCCAAGCTAAATCAGACAATGTCCTCATTGTCTTAAAGGGAAGTTAGTGGGAAAAGGATATAAATTGAGTCATGTGCACTATCCTGATCATAAATTTTGATGTATAATTGATAATGCAGTTATTCTAATTGAATTGGAAATTAGACTTGAAGAGCTTTCCAACGATTGGTAACACGCAAAAATCTGTTAAGTAACGCAAAAGTTATGGCCTGTCGAACTTGAGCAGTTTTGCTGAAACGTATGCGCGCCCGGTCTGACCGGGCATGGGGTGCCCGATCGGGCGCGTAGGATATTGAAAGGTTTAACAAATTCAGCTTTTCTTTGGCTCAAAATCTGCACAAAAACAAACTCCCACAAGCGCAATTTACACACTTCTTACCTCTATAAAAGCCAAAGACAAACAAAAAACACACAAATATTAGAAAAGACTACAATAAAAAAAATAAAATACGGGTTGCCTCCAGCAAAGCGCTAGTTTATCAAGGTCTTTAGCTTGACCTTCGTTATTAGCTCAACCTGGGTCACCACACGAAGAAGGAACTCCGCGATGTTGCCCATGAAAATATCTGCCTCCAAGTGACTCCTTAACTTTATATTTGACATGCTTTGTATCCGAACTTATCTTCATGTAGCTAAACACATCATTGGGTGGAATTTGTCCTCGTTTATCAAAAAATTTCTACCAAATATACACTTATCAACCAAAGGGTTAGTAGTATTAATTCTTAAACAAGTACCACCATCAAATATGAAATTATGTTCATTAAAGAGCTTAAACATTACTTGTTTATTCTGGGCCCTAATGGTCACTTGTCCCCTAGGAACATCTATTAGAGCTTGACTTGTGGCAACGAATGGACGACGGAATATAATCGGGATCTTATGGTCTTCTTTCATGTCCATAACAACAAAATCAACAAGAAAAACAAGTTCACCAACCTTAACTAATACATCCTCAACCACACCCATAGGGAGTCTAAAAGTCCTATCAGCCATTTGAAGAGAAGTAGGGGAAGGTTTAAGTTTTTGCAAACCCAATTTTTCATTTAATGAATAAGGCATTAAATTAACACTAGCACCTAAATCACACAAAACCTTGTCAAAAAATTTTTCGTTTATCATACAGGGAATAGTGAAACTACCAGGATTATGCAGCTTAGGTGGTAGGCTATCACATAAAACAGTAGAGCCTTTCTCATTTACTACTTCCTTATCCTCATGTTGATCTTTAATATTATTCACAAAATTTGCAAATTGAGGCATTTGAATTAAAAGATCGGAATAAGGAATAGAAGCATATACCTTCTTGAGAGTCTCGCAGTATTTCCCAAAATGTTTATCGAGCACGGCTTTTGACAACCTTTGCGGGAAGGGCATCGGTTCCTCATAGGCTGGTGGAGCAACATATTTGGGGCTTTTTACATCCTCACACTTTTCATCTTTTCTTGACTCCACACTGCTCACTTTCTCATCTATTTTCCTCGAAAATGATTCATCTCTTCTCAAGAAAACTGCATTGCATTGTTCCTTTTGGACTTTTTCTTGATCATGAAGAGTTGATAAATGACTCACTTGTTGTGAAAGTTGAGAAAGGTGAGTTTCTGTCCTCTTGTTTTGACCAATAAGCAATTGAATCGAGCTTTTAAAGTGTTCATTTTGCTTTGCTTGTAGCTCGAATTGCTTTGTCATAAGCTCTTGCTGTCGAAGTAGGGAGGTAGTGAAAGTCTCCATGATGGAATCAAGATTGTATTTTGAAGTTTGCGGTGGTAATTGTTGATTCATGGGTTGGTGATTAAAAGATGCCCTTGCTTGAAAACTAGGTGGTGGTGGCAGAGAATACAATTGAGCTTGAGTGTTCGTATAGGAGGAGTCCTGATGATTTCTCCACCCTTCATTGTATGTGTTTGAATGAGCATCATACGGCCTTTTAGGTGCCGTAGTATAGAAGGCATTTGCTTGCTCGATTGACATTTCATCAGAGGGTGGTTGACATTGTGGAGCAATATGGCCTTGAATACCACATATTGACAAGTTTCGGATGAGGTAAAAAAAAATCCAGCTTGGATATTATCAAACTTGCTTGTTAATTCTTGTACAGAACTTGTCAAGAGAGTTAAAGCATCAACATCAAATTTTCCTCTAGTCTTCACAGTATCTCTGCCCCCTGGGTGATAATTATCATTGGCTGCCATCTTCTCAATTAGCTCCTTGGCTTCATTTGGGTTCTTAGTCATGAGAGAACCCCCGGATGCAGCATCAATGTATATGCGAAACTCATGGGTCAGACCATTGTAGAATGTTTGGATCAACAGCCACTCTGGGATACCGTGATGAGGGCATTGTCTCTGTAAGCGCTTGAATCTTCTCCATGCCTCATATAAAGACTCATCATCTGACTGCTTGAAGGTGGATAATTCGTTTCTCAACCTAGCAGTCTTCTCCTGTCCTAGAAACTTTACTAAGAAGGCTTTCACTAGCTTGTCCCATGTATCGAACGAGCCAGTGCCTTCATCTCTCAACCACTCCTTTGCCCTATCCCTTATTGAGAAAGGGAAAAGGCGTAGTTTAATAGCATCATCTGTAACACCATTCATTTTCATTGTATCACATTTCTCAAAGAAACAATCAATATGACTTACCGGGCAATCATGTGGTGTGCCTGCAAAAGAGTCATTGGAGATGAATTGAATGAACTGTGGTTTCAATTCAAAGTGCTGAGCAGTGACAGGTGGCTTGACAATGCTAGAGAGGATTCCGGTTGTCGTATCAGGAATATGAAAAGAATGGTGTCCTTCCAACAAGTGTATTATTCTGATAGAGGGTTCAGAATTATTACAGAGCTAATTCTTCAGTAAGGTCAAGTGATCGGAATGCCTAGGTGGAGGCCGCTTCCGATCAGTAATATTAAGGTACAATTAATATTACAGCTTAATCTTAACTAAACCCTTCGGGTCGAACCCAATCGAACAACCGATCCGAGACGACGAATTAATCCGAAGGATTTAATGAGTCGACAGAGTTTTACGAATACAGACGTCGGATATCGAGCCAAGGGCGTCGAGACCGAGCGTCGTAATATCACAAGCGACAAGTATGAGTGTGGCCGTAGCTAGGCTAGGCTAGCTCATCGCAAGCCTAGGTGCACCATGTGTGTGCTAGGCGCACCATGGTGTGCTAGGCAAGGCATAAGTCCCTAGGCGCTATCGCAGCCCTAGCAACATGCCTAGGCGCTATCGCAGCCCTAGCATGATTCCTAGGCACCATCGCAGCCCTATCGCACCAGGCATAGCACCCATGTGTGTGTGCATGTGCGTGGGCACTATCGCAACACCCTAGCACCACGCACAACACCATCGCAATGCTAGGCACATGCGTGTGTGCGTGTGCACCATCGTTTAGAAGCCTCGCAATGCAGCACCGAACCTTCGCGTAGTTGTGTGCTTGCGTGCGTGCCTTCGCATGGCAGCACCAAGCACAGCAAGCTAGCAAGCAGCACCAAGCCCAGCATGCGTGGCTCGCTAGCAGCACGCATACTAGGCCTTGCGTGCGTAAGTGCGCTGGCTGGGCTATGCGTATGTTGGCCTGGCTGTGCTGGCTATGCGAGAGGGTGTGTGCGTGTGCGATGGCGAGAGAGGCAAGGGCCAGCACCAGCGCCTAGCACTAGCACGCAGCAGCAGCACAAGCATCGCCCAGCGCCTGCACGCATTGCCTGGCTGGGGATGCGAGGTTGCTGGCTAGGCTAGCTGGCCGTGCTAGCTGGCGTGCTAGGTGGCAGTAGCCCAGCAGCCCTTGCTTAAGGCGGTTTGTGGTGAGTGGGGACCAAAGGCTTGGAGCATGCCTTGGGGAGCAAGGCAATGGTCCCCCCCAAGGTTCATGGTCCTCACCTAACCCTCTCTCTCCCCGTGACACTTGTTGCATTGTAATTGATTTGATTATTAATTTATTTTGGAATTCAATTAATTATCAAAATTATTCATTCTCCCACATTGGTTGGGAAATGAAGTTCAAGGGTTCATTTCCCTATAAATACCAAAGTTTGGGTATTTGGGAAAGAACAACCTTGAGTGGAATTAAACGACAACTCTTGATTTGAGTAAACCTTGATTCGTAAAACTCATAGTTTTATTTGTCCGGGTCTCGACTAACCTTCGAGACTTAGGACGTTCGGGTCGGGTTCGAGGGTACGATCCCGTTGGAGACCTCGTATTTTCGGGGTTCAAGTAAGAGCTCATTGTTGAGCGAAGCACGCGTCAAAGGTATAATCTTTTATCCTTTCTTGTGTTTAATTACGTTTTGCTTGTTAGTTGCATTCTTTATGGGGGCGGATCTTGGCGGGTTTCTTTCCGCGTAGTGTGGGTCACTACGAAACCCAACAGCGGTATCGAAGCCACGCTCCTTTTAATTTTTAAAATTATTGATTAATTAAGGTGTTTTAAAATAAAGATTTAATTTCTGGTTTTGCATTTCTAATTAGATTAGAAGCTCGTTTTAATTAATTTTAAAACTCGTATTTTTATCGATTTGGCTGTCGAACCCAGATTTTGGCTCAAAAATAGTGATTTTTGGGTGGAATCGAAATTCTGAAACAGATTCACCCCTCTATGAGAGTTGTCCATAAGCCAAATTCGAACCAGAAACCCAAGTTTTTGGGGTTTTTTCGTTTTTCAACGAAAATTTTAAATCTTTTTAAGCCTTGATTAATGCAAACACTACAAGGTTAGATTAAATGCATTATTGCATCCCTAATCTACTAATATTTTAATTATCCTTAAGCATAATTATGGAGTTTTAATTAGTGCTTGAGTTGATATGCCATTTTCACATAAACTTGATTTTTCACAATTTTGCAAATTAATTGCAATAATGTGTAAATGTTTGATGTGAATGTGTAATTTTAAGTTCCCAAGTATGTTAAAGTTCTAATCTTTGAAGGTTTAAATGATTGGAACTCTAACCCTAAATTCCATATTGAATAAAGTTTGGATTTTTTCATTTTGGTTGATTAAAATCCATGAAGTTCAAATACTTGTGAGTAAAATTTTGATTAATCTTCATATTGGAAGATGTAATCTTGTTATTTTACACAAGTATAAAAGTTGGAAAATTTTTTATCATTAGATGGTTAATTTATTTTTCCAACTCCCATTTGTCAAATCCATTATTAATTTGCATATTGGCCAAAATTAATTATGGACATAGCTCATTTAATTTTAAGAATAAAAAAAGACCTAAATTTATTCAAAAATAAATTTTTGGATGATTTAGGCTTGTGCACCACTAAAATTAAATTTATCTAAGTTAGACTTATTTTATTTTAATTTTTTCCTCAAATTGATTCTAAATAAAATTTAGAATTAATTTATGCCACACATAAATCGGGATCAAAATCTCGAGTAAAATGCACGCAAATCGATGCAAAACCGCAAGCGTCACCAAGGCTAGCCGGGCTGCCTAGCAGCCCACATGTAGGCTGCCTATGGTGCGCGCATGGCTGAGCATCAATGTTAAGGTGCTGGGCTTGGGCAGCGGCATTGGCTGCTGGCTGCTTGGGGCGCTGCTGGGCAGCGTGGTAGCAAGCACCAGCCAGCCCCCACTTGCTGGCAGGCGCCAGCATGCGAGCAGGCATGCGTGGTACTGGCCAGCGTAGTGTGCTGTGCTGGGCGAAGCATGCTAGCACCAGGCGCCAGCACAGCCCTTGATGCTTCTGGTGCATTTGTGGCGTAGGCTGTTAGCGAGCTTGTGCTGCTGCTGGGCAGCGAGGCAGCAAGCCCCAGCCAGCCAGCCCACTGTTGCCTAGCAGCCATGGTGCGCAATGCACCATGCTTGGGTGAGGCTTCGTTGCTTAATTTTGGGCTATGCAATTTTGCGAAAATTTTGTCGTTTTAAATTATTTATGTAATTATTTTAACGAGGTTAGACCTCGATTTTTCCGGCTTTTGCAAAATTTTTGATTTTAACAATTACGGGTTCAGCCAACTTAATTAATCGGATTAATTAAGTATGGATGCGGAATTTAGTGGGAGCTTATTAGATTGCTTGAGCAATTTGTTTTTAGAAATAATGAATTAAACAATTTTGACTAGTTTTAATTAGGCGCGTTAATTGGATTAATCACCTAAGTTAGTTACTAGTTTAGCGTGTTTAATTATGTATTTCGTAATTTGCATGGGCCATTCACAAATAGTGAATGGGTGAATGGAAGATTGTTTTCAAAACAGGTTATTGAAAATGGCAACTAGTGGGGCCCGACTAGGATAGAAAATACGGACTGCGTTCTGTTATGTATTTTTGTAAATCTAAATACGGTCTACGAACCGTTAAGTATTTTTGTACTTTAGATTAATCTTAGTCGTACTAGCTAGTTATTTTATTTTGGCCAAGATGTCTCAAGACGGCATTTCAATGAAGACGAGCCAAGATGAAGACCCATGGAAATTGAAGATTTCAAGGGGTCATGCTAGTTGCCAAATGCATCTATTTTATGCTTTATATATATTATTGTTATATATGAATGTTAGATGCATGTCTAGGATTTATATATGTTGCGATGATTAGTTAAATTCACTTAAATCAAACCAACATAGAAACCCTAGGTCCCTTAACAATATTGAGCTAAAATTTGTCGTTCCAATTAAGAACAACACTTATCGAACTAATGCGCGTATGTGATGGGCTACGCCAAAGCGAGGCATCACTACTTCCCTTGGAACGTAAGGTATACTAGGTATACAAGTTGTCTTGGTTAAGCTCAACGATATTAGTAAGGAGTCCTTAGATGTCGTGGCAAAAGAGATAAAATGTCAAGGATGCATTAGATACGACATTTTATCAAACCGAGAGTAGCTTGGAGCTATTAGCAATTGGATTGCTTACCTTAAGATATTTAATGATTAAGACAAGCCAAAGCATGCTTAACCATTTCTTGATATTTGGGATCTCGGAATCATTTTATTCTCGCCCATAAGGGACAATTTTTTAATGCGTGGATAAAATGCTCAATAAGATTGAAAATATGCATGAACGCTTTTAAATTTCAACTTATTGATTTATGAATGGTTTTTCATTTCAAATTCTTTCAATTGTAGAACAATGTCTGCAAGTAACTCAAACAACAACCATGTGTGCCCGGAACTCCCCGAAAAGTTAGCTATCAAGCTTAACTTAACAAACCTTGAAGAATGGGAAGAGGAACTCAGGAAAACTCTCCGGAGTTGTTCCAAGGAGTATGTTCTGGATACTTCCCTCCCAACCCTCTGTACCAAGAAACACTTGAGTGACGAAACTTATTGTGCATGGTCAAATGATTGCAAATTAGTGTCATAACTCATGGCTAACTCCATCCCGGAAGAATGGAAAGAAAAACTTCCATTCTCTTTTCCGGACTTATTCCTTGGAGGACTAAGGGATGTTGTCGGTGTGAGATTCTCTAAGAGTTTCAACGACAACAATGATGGAATCTTGCTTGAAGTGACTAGGACACTTACAGACATGAATGTGAAGCCATCGGATCAAGGTTGTCTTGCGAAAGAGAGGTACCATCTTTGGTCTACAGTCTGCAACACCAAGTTGAGACCGGGTATGCCCCTCCGACCCCATGTGG